GTCCATAACTGGACAGACGCATGAAAAACTGACATCAATTTGTTTATTACCATAACAAACTGTCAAATTGCACATTGTCGCTCTTTGGCACATCGCATAAATTATAATTTCATGTGTCACTCTGCTTATTGACAATGAAAATTAGCCAATGAGCACACAAGAATTCCTGCAGTTATAGTAAAAATGTGTGTCGTGTGTACATGAGCTTACCACAAAGTGAGTGCTGCGTTGATAGTAGGGATGGTTAGGATCATCTGCAAAAGAATAATAGATATCTTGTTGAAATTACCAGATTAACTTCATATTTCAAAAAAAAATAGAAATGAATTTAAAAATTTTGAATTGCATTGTCAATACGAAAGTTGCCCACCAAGCTTCAATTGAAAATATACATTGAAATTTTTCAGTAGCCACAGTGATATAATGAAGTACTGCAACATCATCTTTTCATTATATATACAAATAATATTTTACCTCTTGGGTTGACTGGATATTCTTCTGATTCAGCCTGTCTTTCTTCACCTTGCTGCTTCATATCTGTGAATCCATCAGTCTTGCTAGAAAATGGTTTGATGTGGAAATCATTGCAAGTGACTGAGTGTCGCACAGAGCATGGTTCAGCGACATTCCAATCACCTTGTCTAAATACACTTGATTTGTAAGTCTCCAAAGCTGTCTTGGAAGCTGTGTTTGTGGAGCCAACTTCTTCTGTAGAGTTTTCTAACTTGTTCTTGAAGGAGTGTCTTGTTTCTGTACCATACCTGCAATATTGAATTAAAAACATCAAGAGACAAAACTTATGGACAGCTGGCAGTCTGTTTCTCTCTTGAAATTCAGCAAGGGTTTTAAGGCAAGACGCTTTAGCCTAAAAGGGAATGGGGCTAGACATGGGCGTGGCACGTGCCTTATTCGCTCTCAGTCATACAGTTCTTTTGCATAATTTCACAATGGCTGATTACACTTGTTTAAGTAAACCCTTTGACAAAAATCCAGCTGCCAGCAGACAACAAAACTAATAACTCCCTAAGCTAATCTGTTCAAGCTCAAACAAGAGCAAACAGCCTTCTCTCATTTTATTGAAGTTTTTGGTGGATCATGCATTGCAAAGTCACTCAGATAAACCAGGGAAAGTTATTTTCCGCTACACAAACTTCATTTCTTAGACTTTCTGGGTAACTGTATGCAGAGCATAGCCCAAAATTGATGGGTACTCTTACCCATTCAAATCAGCTCCAAACTGAAAATGAGTAGCATTCAGATCATCAGTATGTTTCTGACATTCTGCTCTGTTCTTTGCACTGGAGCCTTGTGCCTGGCCTTTCTGCAAGTCACAAAAATTGTAAATTATGATTATTGGTAATTATTTCATAATAAATAAACAATAGCCTCCATTTGAAGCAGAAATATGCTCAGATATTTGTCCGCCAACATGATCTGTTCTGAGAAGTGAACAGTTTTCTGAGAGTGTAGCTTGAGGAAAACTGCGAGCTTTGAGGAACAGATGATGTCTGCAGACAAATATCTGAGCATATTTTT